TTTTTTATTCTTCTAGGCAAATCCTGACCCAAACTGTTGTCTCGGTGTGTTTGGATTGAGTCTATACACCACAGAAAGGGACCTGAGAGAAGTGTTCTCCAAGTACGGCCCAATTGCTGATGTTTCCATTGTGTATGACCAGCAGTCTCGGCGTTCAAGAGGATTTGCATTTGTGTATTTTGAAAATGTTGATGATGCAAAGGAGGTAAGCTGGAATATATAACACTTCGAAAATTTTCAATTCCCAACTGTTAAAAACTTATTCCTGCATAACTAGTACATAGCCCTGTAAAATGTGTTTTTTAAACCTTTGTTTGAGACCGTGTAGAAAAGGAATTAAGGTACAGTATTCATTAATATTTGAAACTGCTATAAGGAAAATATGCACCTGGACAAAAACAAGAATAGCAATCTTGGAAGCATTGGCATTTGTTTTCTGTAGTCTATTAACGATTCTTCAAAATAACTGATGGGTTTATGAATGTATTTACTTGAACTGATTTGACCAAGTGGTTAAAAAGCAAGCTTCTGAAAGGAATGATTTAGTGATAACTATTTCAAATACCACAGGTTAAGATTTCAGTATGGTCAATTCAGCCCCTACATTAGTGAGAAATAAATAGTTCCACACAGCTGGTTATGTGTTTGACCAAAGCTGCTTTTTCCTGCTGGTTGGTTGTTGCATTTCATTAGTATTGTTTATATGAATATAATTGTAAATTGCTTTGTGATTCTCTGGGATGAATGAAACACTATTTTAGTATTTAAATCAACTGAATGGAGGATTTTAATATGTAATCAGGCTTACAAACCAGTTAACTTTTAATTCTCCCCTGGGGTGCATTTGATTTTGGATGTAGGTCTTGACAAATGGGTAAATATATATGATAGTCTTAAAACAATATTTTAAAAGGTTTATATGGTTTTAGTTTTTATATTAGAGTAATTAATCAAATATGTGCCCAAAGCCACAATCATATTGTGTTTAAAATACATGTTGAAACAAAATTTCAATTGTCAATAAATAAAAATGAACAACTTTTCAGAGCACTTGGAGACTAGAACCTGACCATGGCAGTTAGACTATTAATGTTGCCCATTCACAGCTGGAGGTGAAAGTAACTTACACATATCCCAGAAGACTAACTCTATTCATCATAAGAGCTGTAAGCCATCTTGAGGAATTATTAGATCCTGTCCCTTGTTGGTATCTCAGAACAAAATAAAGGTGTGAGTTATGCTTTAAACAAAAATACAAGGTAAATCTCCAGTTGTACCAGAGTTACCCTCCTAAATACAAACTCAGTTTGAAGATGCGTGTACTGTTACCCCAAGCAAACCACTGGTACTCCCAGCACATTGGTTGTAATGGTCGCAACTGGCAAATGGATCCAGTATGAGCTTTGCTCCAATGAAACATGCATCAGGAAAATAACCCTTCAGAAGAAGTGGATGCTACCTATAGAGCCTCCAGACAAGCAGTAAAGAAGGCAAGAAACCTAGCTTTGGATACGCTGTATAATGAGATGCACAACTGTTCTCAATTTGCCAAAAAGAAAATATATATGATCTCACGGACAAGAAACAAAAGGAAGATGGCAAAGTGAACACACCATTCATAAAGGATGCAGGGGTCTTGTATGTAACTGACAGCGAAAATTCTGGGGGTCTACTTAATGTGGAAAACCCTTTATATGCTGCATTGTCATGCGAAGCAATAATTATGAATGTAGATGCCTTTGAGGTCTGCCCACAGGTCACCTGGAAAAGTAGCAGGTCCAGATGAAGTGATGGTGGAAATGATCAAAGCCTTGAGAGAGGCTAGGGTACATTGGCTCAGACAAATCCTGCACTCTGGGAAGAAAAGAGAATTCCATATTGGTACCGATATACAAACACAAAAGTACATGTGACGGGTTGGATCACAGAAACCCCCTTGGGAACTGCCACCCGATGTGCAAAGACTACCCCTGCTCCTGTTTTCCCTGCCAGCTCAGGACTCCAGCACCCTGTCTTGCTGAGCCAGACACTCCCGTCTGGCTCCAACACAGACCCAGGGTCTGAATCACTTGTCCCAAAGCTGCAAGTTTACCTGAAAACAGCTCACAGAAGTGTGCTTGTCTTTAGCACTCAGATGCCCAACTCTGAATGGGGTCTAAACCCAAATAAATCCGTTTTACCCTGCATAAAGCTTATGCAGAGTAAACTCATAAATTGTTCGCCCTCTATAACACTGATAGAGAGAGATGCACAGTTGTTTGCTCCCCCAGGTATTAATACATACTCTGAGTAAATTACTAAATAAAAAGTGATTTTATTAAATACAGACAGTAGAATTTAAGTGGTTCCAAGTAGTAACAGACAGAACAAAGTAAGTCACCAAGCAAAATAAAATAAAATGCGCAAATCTATGCCTAATCAAACTGAATACAGATAATCTCACCCTCAGAGATGCTTCGGTAAGTTTTTTTCTCAGACTGGACACCTTCCAGGCCTGGGCACAGTTCTTTCCCCTGGTACAGCTCTTGTTCCAGCTCAGGTGATAGCTAGGGGATTCTTCATGATGGCTCCTCTCCCCCCTTTGTTCTGTTCCACCCCTTTATATATCTTTTGCATAAGGCGGGAACCCTTTGTCCCTCTGGGTTTCCACCCCCCCTCACTGGAAAAGCACCAGGTTAAAGATGGATTCCAGTTCAGGTGACATGATCACATGTCACTGCAAGACTTCATTGCCCACTTGCCAGCACGCACATATACAGGAAGACTCACAGGTAAATACAGCCATCTGCGGATAATGGTCCTTGTTAATGGGAGTCATCAAGATTCCAAACCATCATTAATGGCCTACACTTTACATAATTACAATAGGCCCTCAGAGTTATATTTTATATTTCTAGTTTTAGATACAAGAGTGGTACATTTATACAAATCCGATGATCACACTCAGTAGATTATAAGCTTTGTAATGATACCTTACAAGAGACCTTTTGCATGAAGCATATCCCAGTTACGTTATATTCACTTATTACCATATTTTTCTAAAACTGTCCCAGTTACATTATATTCACTTAATATCATGTTTTTATAAAACCATATGTTCTGCACAACGTCACAGTACCTACACAACTGTTTGAAGCTTCTGTCCCACTGCGTGAAACTGAGAATCATAGCTGCATTCTCTGAAATGTGGAGCCCATTTAAGGAAAGAAGCAGTTTGGCTTTAGAAAAGGAAAATGGACAATAGATAGTGTATTCATTGGCAGACAGTTGATAAAGAAGCTGGAGGAAAATATCTAGCATGGTTCATTGGTTGGGCTTTTTTGTTGTGTGGAGTGTTTTTTTTGTTTGTTTGTTTGTTTTTTGGAGAGAGAGAGAGCAAGCATCTGGCAACATACATACATGACTGCTGGTGCATCTCTAATTCTGTGAGGTACTGGAGGATCTTGTCCAGATGGTGATGGGTTTGTATGAGGGTTCCAAGACAAAAGAGCCAGTTGCCCTTCAGTGTTTCAAGGAAGGCTTCAAGGTGAAGGTTGGACTCCACCAGGGATTAGTGCTTAGTTCATTACTATTTATAATTGTGATAGACTTCATAGGTAAGTAAATCCACATTGAAGGTTGTATGAAGATGATCTATACAAATTAAATTTTGCTAAAGGCCGATGGTGAGGAAGATTTGGTTCAGGCAATAGGGAACTAACAAACTATAGTGTCAAAATGAGTAAAGAAAAGAGAAATCATGTGGGTGACTTGCTCAGAACTAAGACAGATGAATATCAACATTGAGGGCCAGCGCCTAAATCAGATATCATCTGTGTTTATCTTGTGGGGCTGGTTAGTGACAAATAGAGAAATCCGAGAACCATAACCAAGATAGCTGAGCATGGGGGAAGGTCTGGTGCAAGGTAACTGGAGTGATTTCTAATAAATGAATGCCCAGATTACATAAGGGGCAACTATAGAAAACCATGGTAAGACCAGCTCTTCTGTGTGGATCAGAGATATGGGTAACCAAAGAGAGGCACTTGAGAAGACTTGAAGTTATTGAAATGAGATGTTTGAGGGGAGACCTTGCAGGACCACATGTGGAAAGATGTCCTCAGGCATGAAACCAAGGTTTGCAGTATCAGAGAAGCTATAAAAGAAGAAGCTGAGATGGTATCAGCATGTACAAGGATGGATGAAAGGCATCCCGTTAGGGAGACATCTGAGACTAGAGTTTGCGGGCTGAGAACAAGAGGACAGCCAAGTAAACGGTGGATAGACTGTAAGGGAAGACGAAGTGGATATGGAGCAAGCATTGGACTGGCAAGCTTGGAAAAGACAGATCAACAATACAACCCCAGCTAGTTGGGAAAGGAGGAGAAGTAGTTGATAGAACTTGTGTTAGCAGTTATTAGGCTGAAGTTAATCTATTTGCAGTTAAAACTGTCTAAATCATGATTGTTTCACTCCGTATAGGCTAAAGAGCGTGCCAATGGAATGGAACTTGATGGGAGAAGAATCCGGGTAGATTTCTCCATAACAAAAAGGCCTCACACCCCTACACCTGGACTCTATATGGGGAGACCAACTTAGTAAGTTACTTCAGAAATTGAATAGCACAAGTGGCATAAAGGAAATGCACATTTAGTTTTCCACGTAGTCTGTTTTATTTTGCTAAATTATCTGTGCTCTTGTGGGAATTCTGTATCAACACAATCCTGATTATTTATTTATTTATTTATTGGTGCTTTTTGTTAAAGTCCCAGACTTTGAAAAGTACACATGCAACTCTTGGTATATGGGCATAAAATAGTAGTGCACCTTGATTTGTGTACTTGCACCAAATGTTAAAATCATGCCAGTCAACACTGCGGCTACATATCAAACAACACTGTCAGGAAAAAATGTAATTGATTTAAAAATTCTATTTTCAGATAAAGCAACCTTTAAAATGCCAAATGATGGCACTTATTAGCAAAGTAACTGCCACTCAGTTTACGAAAATGACAAACTTGTGTAGTTATCGCTGAAGCAAATTCCATAACTTTTATTTAATTCTTACTTGTGGGTAGCCCTCAAAGGTTGTATGCTTTTTCCAACTGTAAAAAGTCAAGATGCATTTGTGTACAATAATTTAGTGACTTGTAACATTGTGTTTAGATAACCATAAATAGAAATAAAACTACATGAACTTTTTTCACTTACTGGTAATACAACACTTGAACGCTTTAAAAAAAAAAAAAAAAAAACCTAATGCACCAAAAATGCATCAATTTCAGTACTTTGTATCCACCTGTCTAATGTTCCTTAATTTAGTCCGTTCTTAACTTGCTTCCAATTGGCAGATGTGACTCGTCCAGATCTATCAGCATAATTGTTTTCCATGGGAAATGGGGCCTGGAAAACCAAGAGGGCATGGGCAGTTGGAGGCCAACAGTAGGAGAGGCCATACCCAGAAATGTTAAACTTGTAACTTTAAATCTGAGCTTGCGATCTAAAAAGCTTGCATTAAACATTTTGGTTTCATCCCATGAAAGGCACATGAGAACTAAGATCTCAAGTTGAAACACTTGAAGAAAACATTTTTGTCAGCTGACAGCTTTTTTGAAAAGTCAGTTTAGTAGCTGGTACATTTTAAGTCACTATTGGGGGTTGGACTAGATGGCCTCCTGAGGTCTCTTCCAACCCTAATCTTCTATGATACTGGGCTCACTGAGGAAAAATCCTTCCAAAAGGGACTTTTTTCCCCCCCTGAAAGTTACGAATAGGTGAAAGTTGCCTTAGAAAAGAATTCCTCCTGCAATATTTAAACTTAGTGTTCATGTCAAAAAGTTAAATCCAGATTAAGTTTGCAGTTACATTTCCTGGCCACCTTATTTGAAGATTCCTACAGTACTGTTAGCTCAGCCAGCCTTGCCTGTATGCTGTATTTTGTATTTTTGTAACTTTGTTTCACTGTTCCATGCAGTGGCAGCTCCCGACGAAGAGATTACTATGACCGAGGGTATGACAGAGGGTATGATGATCGTGAATATTACAGCAGATCTTATAGGTGAGCCACTAGTAACAAATACAAAATATGTGCAGATCACCTTGGGCTAGAGTTTCTCTTGAAACTCTTGCATTTTGGAAGTAAATTATTTGCATTTCTTTTTAACTTATTAAATGTTATAACTGTACCTTTGAAACTCATTTGAAGTCACTATTTTACATCCAAGCTCTGGTTTTGAAATCTTTGGCCTTTACTGCAAATAATTGTTGTTTGCCATCTGTTATTTTTGATGTACAGCCAGTGTGACAGACAGATCAGAATTTCAGTTTGAATGAGATCTAATTTCAACATAAATAGTCCATAATGCTATACTTACATGTATATCTGTATAATTTTAATGGCTTCATAGTGTCTATGCTGTGAATACTTCAGCTTTAAGAGCAAGCACACACATACACCTCTTCTGTATGCTGGCCCAAAAGGGGAAGAAAAAAAATCTCCCAAGAGACAGCAGTGGTGAAAGTACTAGTATAGACCTCTGCCACTTGCATTTTCCCATCTGGTGGTCTAGCCATGCTCTGGAGAAACGTAGTCAACACAGCGGTAAAAATAGCAGTGACCACCAGTGCTCAAAGTTATTGCCACTTGGCGTACAACAGTGGAAGATTATTTTGAAAGTTAAAGTGTAGATGAGGTCATAAATTAAACCTGTCCTTATACTGGACAGATGTACTATGAAAATGTCACATAGCCTTTCTACAAAACAGAGGGCAATCCTATTTCACGGCTTCATATCTATCAACTAACTCCTTGGCACCCATAGTTGGATTTTGCTGTTGTAAAGCCTGTTATGGACAACAGTTGCTTCAGGATCCACCAACACAGCTACTAACTAGGAAATGAGAAGATAAAACAAATTAAGGGAGAAAGTGAAACGTTAGACACATGCAGTGTTGAATTGTAGATAAAACTCTGTAGAATGCAGGGGTAGTGTAGGAACTTTGAATTCTATGATATAGATAAAAGGATAGAGGGCAACTGTTTAAAGTGGCAGTGCTAACAAGGCTTAATAGCGGTTTTATTTCGCAGAGGATTTAAGTCTGACAAACCTAGCGTGGTTGTACTTAATGTGACTGAAAGTTCATAGTTAACATATGTTGCCATAGATAAATTGTAGAACTGTTTGAAATTTATTTAAAACACACTTGAATATAGCTAGTTGGTGGTGGTCTTGATGAAAAATGTCATGTTACATCTGAATTTTCAGATTGGTTGCATGAACAAAGTTGGACCATGTAACAGAGTCAAGACACAATTTAAATGTTAAGCTAATATCTAGTAGTTCATTTTCTTTGTGTGTATTTTAATGACTTCCTATCATCAGGCCGAAGGCAGATTTTGTGCAGTTAAGATTTTAAATCTTTTATTCTGTAGCTGGGTCAAAATATCCCTTCTGAGCAACTATTTCCTTTAGTCCTTTTTCCTGTCACTCCTTCTAGGACAACCTTACTTTATTTTGTCTCCTTCTGTAATAATCACTCAAAATTGGTCATGCTTTCTTTTTTTCTAAATCTGAAAGTCTCTCATTTTGGAGAGTCAACGAATCCTCCAAATGTTGCTTTATTCCCTTTATTTATGTTGTAGCTGGTTTTACAGAAGCTTATATTAAATACAGGCTAGATAGATAGAATCTCACCAACTACTTGAAACTGCTCATGCAGGAGAATTCCTTTAGGGTGAATTATGCTCCTGACCATTGCATACCAGCAGGAGTGTGAAACTAACTACTTTCACTCTTGGCAGTGCTCATACTGGTGTCGAGAATATGAGGCATGGCTCTGAGCATGGGGAACAGGAATGGGAGCCCAGAGAGAGCATAGACTAAAACAAGGGAAACATGTTAACTAAGAGTGGAATGATGTGCACAAACATAAAGACTGGACCAGTGGTTTAGTGGCGTCACTGTTAGAATTAAGGACCATTCTCTTTGCTCTGCATCCTGGCTAGTGATAGGTGCTCTGTAGACAGTGTTCACTGTCATCTAGTCAAGCACACCTGTGGTCACTCACCAGACTGCTGTGAGGAGTTCCAGCCCCTGTATCCCATGTGCTTTAAGCCTGCAGAGTTTGAGCAGAGTACAGCCGTTGCCCTGTCTTTGGTGATCTAGGCACTGTTGGGGTGCAGATCCTCTATCTAGCACTCCTTCTTGACAGCTGCTGCCTTGCCCCTCAGGCTCCTGTAGCTCCCACAACTCCAGCTTTGTAGGTTGTTTGGGCCCACAAGTTAATTCTTCAAGGACATGTAATAGGTATAACACGCAATGTACGCAGACTTTGCACGGGATTCTAAAACACCACTGCTCATCCTTTAGTAGCATGAGAAATGCACAGATTTATACAAAAATAAACTCCATGCTCAGTTTCCTTACCACTCTAGAGTATTCGTTGGGCTGGGAGCTGGGTCTTCTGGGGATGTCTCAGACCAGTCTGTTGCACCTCATGGCTTTAACTTTGCCTCTTCCCTTCTCTCTCTTCTCCCCTCCCCCTCCCCCCAACAAGCTTGCTTTCTCTCATCTTGGTTGGTCCTGCAGCTAACCCCAACCCCATGAAAGCCAGGCCTGTCTCTTCTCCTGCCCAGAGCATCCTATGTGGCTCTGAGTCCCTCATGTTTTTATGTCTCACCACAAACACCTGCTTTTGTTCTGCTGCTGATAATTTTTCCACTCTCCAGAACTCCCCTCCTACAGCCAAATGGCTTCTCCCAGCTCTGGCCAATCTCTTTAGCATAACTATTGACCAGCCAGAGTATAGTATCTAACCTTACCTACTCTCCATTGTATCTCATCTGGGCAATATGTGCTTACAGCCTTGTCAGCAGTGGTGGATACATACAGACAGAGGCATTTCATCATACAGAAATTTTCGTAACCTCACAAGATCAACCAAAATTCATAAGTTGTACACATTCTCCATATATTCATCTTCCTATCCACTATTTTCTCCTCCCCTTTACCTGTTACATACACTCTTGTTCTAGAAGTGTCGTGCTTTTAGAACAGAAATGCTTGGTAAGAATACAGGGGCTCCACCTTATGTAATTTCAACAAACTGGGCCTCAATCTTTCCACCTACCCTTACTTAAAAATAAGCAGGTAGCTTTTGGATTTTACCTTGTTCTGCAGCATATTTACAGCCTTTATCATAATTGAAGCTGAGGCTAAGCCACAATCTTACTTCCTATGTCTGGATGTTTAAGAATCCACCAGTTGTCCTTATAGCTAAAATGCCTTATCTCTTTTTGACGTGTTAGAACTTAACTCCCTCACACTATTATTTATTATTTGTACTATATTACCATAGTGCCTAGGAACCCTAGTCATGGAGCAGGTCCCCTTGTGTTAAGGAAATGTACTCTCGCCTAGCCAGATCTTATGGAACTAGGAGTGTTGTCACAAATTAAGTAATATAAATAACATTTTTGCTGCAAGCAGATACTAATTACATATATTGGTGCTGTACTAGGAGATCTTATTTGAATAAAATTCTATTCAGTCTTTAGAAAAAACAGATAAGGAATTCCTAATTAGAAATATTCAGTATGTAGTCTCCTTTCCTGCCTGCCTCTCACTGGAAGTGTTCATTTTTATCATTTTGCTTCTGGCCTTTGAGAAGTAAAGTTAAAGGTCTTTGAATATCCACTTATCCCCTCTTTTTCCCCTCATCCTCTGTAATCCAAATTACAAGCTGACTGGCCTTCACCCAGAGGTGTTGTCTGAGTCCTTGTAGTGATGACTCCCAAACTCCCCGTTTGACCATTTAGCCACCTGCTCAGCCTTTGACATCTCCATGTACACTGTTTTCCATTAGGCCCAAAGGATCATTGTGAAAGGGCAGAGTTGTGGCCTCATCTATGCTGCAAATAAGCACTGAGATTGCAGCGATGAGCAGGGGCAGAGAGGAAAGCAGAATGGACAGACCTATGTATGTTAGACTACCTGTGTAACTTCAAACAGAAAAATTATCAAAATAGTGTGTTCATTCCAAAGTAATCATCTCCTTATTTTTCTAACACTTCCTTCCTTTCCTCCTTCCTTCCATCATTTGAGTCTTGTCTAGAACTTTGATTATAATGTCTTTGGACCGGAGACTGTATTTGCATTGCAAGACACCTGGCACGTTTGTAGATGGTGTACAACGTATAACATTTACAGTATATTTTATTTGGCTACCTTATACCAAATGTAACCACTTCCCCACTACGTAATTAAGACAGTTTCATTAAAATGATCATGAGAATTTTACTAGCTAATGTGTGAAATCCTGTCATGAGAATGAACTGATCTTACTTGTCTCATTTCGAAACAAAACTACTGCTCCCTGGTGAGTGAGCAAGTACAAATTTTTGCACAGAGTAGTGTGACTGCTTTTCCTTCAATTTAAAATGGAAGATAATCTCAAACTGCTGCTACCTGGAGGATAGGAAATTATAACGTACAATATTGGTAAACTGGACCATGAGATTTCCTCAACTTTCCCAGACACTTTGTGATTTTTGCCAAGCCATGCTGGGCATAGTACATAAATGAACTGTGATGAGACAGGTAGCTTACACTTACACAATGCAGCAAATTTTATTTAGGTATTTTCTTGTCTTTCCTGTGTGATCCAACTGTAGTTTTATATTAGATATAACGCTTTGTTTTCCTTGTTTTATGCCCTTGAAAATAATAAAGTGCGAAAAATGTTGTTTGCTTCTGTCTTCACAGAGGAGGTGGTGGTGGAGGAGGAGGATGGAGAGCTGCCCAAGACAGGGATCAGATCTACAGGTATGCTTAGACAGGATTTAATATCCAAAGAACAGTAGAAATGTTCATGAAACGGCCTGCCTAAAAAATTCAAACAGCTGAGGCCTAATGTACATCCAAAAGCATTAAAAGAAAAGTGAATGAATACAATTCTTCAGCGAGCCACAGAACTCATTAAAACAAAAGTCCACCTGATTAAAATTATATAGGTTGGTAATAACATTATATATATTATATAGGCTGGTGATGGAGCTTTACGCGTAGAAAATTCACAATCTGTGCCAAAGAGTTATGAATTTTTCAGTTACTCTTAAACTATTCTGTGGACTTTAGTGCTGGGGGACAGGACCCAGTGGGGGGGGAAACAAATGTAGAGAGCCTTGATTTGGGGGGCTGGGGGGAAGGAGATTGCAGCTGTTGGTGTTAGCTGTTCATCTCCAAATAAATATTTAAATTGGAAACAAATCTAAGATAAGTAGTATTGGTTTGTTGCTTATCATATGGTATGCTGTTTGATTCCAGATAAGATTAATGTTTCTCAGGCTCTGAATATTTAATAGTCCAAAAATTAACATTGGCATTACTCATGGTTCGTTTTTTAAAATATAAAATGAAACCTTTTCTCTGGAAATATTAAGTACCTCAAGCTTGCTTTCTTCATACACTATTAGCTTTTATAGGCGTGCAGTCACCCAACACACAGTGAACTTGTGGAACTCATTTCCAGGGGATGTTGTGAAGGCTAAAAGTATAACTAGGTTAAAAAAAGAATTGGAAAAGTTCCGGGAGGATAGGTTCATCAATGGCTATTAGCCAAGATGGTCAGGGACAAAACCTCATGCTGTTAGTGTGCTTAAGTGGCTGGTTGCCAGATCCTGAGACTGGACAACAGGGAGTGGATCACTCAATAACTGCCCTGCTTTGTTCATTCCTTCTAAAGCATCCAGCACTGTTGGAAGACCGAATACTTCACTAGATGGACCATTGGTGTGACCCTATATGGCCATTATGTTCTAGTACCTTTACTGACTTTTAGGTAGCATCTATCAATACAGTATACAGATGCTCCTGTCAGCTCTGCAATGCGTGGTTTTCAGTGAATCAACTGCTAGTTAAGAATGTTGCACAGGCAGCTACAGTGCATGTGTGACCGGATTAACCTTAAATTTCTGGTGACCAGTATTCATGGGATGTAGACTAATCAGCAGTAGGGGTGTTGAAGGAGAATTATAATATGGTATTTCTTGGTATCATTTGAATTTGTGTATATCAGTGTTAATTACTTTGCAACCTGAATTAGCTTAATTATCATGTTAATCCTTTCCACAGGAGAAGATCACCATCCCCATACTACAGCCGAGGAGGTTACAGATCTCGCTCCAGATCTCGATCCTATTCACCTCGTAAGTCTTGTTTTATAATTGGTTGTCATTGATTGGATGCTGACTTCCATGTAGAAGAAAAAATTGAGAGCACAACTACTGGATCTTTAATATTCTCGCCATCTAATTTAATGCCCCTTGAAAAAAAACTGAGTTCTCCAAGCAAGTGACCACCTTTTAAGGACAAGACAAATGTCAGTTTTACTCTTGCCTCCTTGCCTTACTGTGTCCTTGTCATGCATAACTTTCCTTTTAAAAACTCATGGGAGACCATGTCATGGTTAACGTTTTGGTTATGCCCAAGATCAAACAGTCAATCCCGGCAGAGGCTAACATGTTGTAACTGAGTTTCCAAACACGGTACCTTCTATAGGATAGATAATACTTTTTAAATTAATCTGAGATTAAAGTCAGAGTAATGGCTTTTGTATTAGTATATTTAATATCAAAAAGTTGCTAAAATGAGGGCTTCTCTCTGGATTATCTCACTATATCAGCACATATTCTGGAGAGGTGTTTATGTGGGTAGGTTCTGTTTAAAATAGAATGTCATTAAATTATTTTTACTTGGTCATAAGGGATACATGTTAATGATGTTCCCACATTCTTTGCTAATAAACATGGAAACATCCTTCTGCCATACATAGTAATCTGCATTGTATCTGTCCTTTCTCAGTACCTTGAAACACCAGTCCTCCATATGTCAAGTGTCTGAGGGCTTGCTTACACAGGGAAGATCAGTGCTATAGTTAATACTGGTAAATTTCCCTATGCAGACACGCCCTTAGCTCTTGAATTTCTGTTTACCCACTTGAACAAGGTGATCACAGATGTTGAAAGGCTTTGACTGATATATTTAAAGATTTAGCCTATTAGTAATTACAAAATGAATTAATGTATGTTTACTTTTTCCTCTTACAGGTCGCTATTAAAACATGAAGTTTAGAGGAATTTCTACCTACAGCCCTTGAGCTGGGATCGCAGATATGTGGACAATATTTTTATTGTCTATTCTGTTTAAAAAGTGAGCAGTGCCTAGTGAATAGGTGACTTTTACACCTTTTATGAAGACTACTTTTTGGTGAAGTTAAAATGCTGTTTCATTCTGCATATCTGTGTAGTTCGGTGCTTTGTTCAAAGTTGTGTTTTTGAGAGGAGTATGTTTTGCATGTATTTTTTTAGTCAGAATTTTGACTGCTGAAAGGTTTCTATTATACAAAACTGTTCATTTAAAGTTTTTTCTACTGATTCCAGGATATTCTGAAGATCAAAACCTGTGTAAAATGCTTTCAAATGGTAAAAAATAATAAACAGTTTGATTTTTACTTCCCAAATCTTATGCATAGCCAAAGTAATCTGTTCCTCCAATTCTCAAATTCAGTAGCTAATTAACTAAGAGAAGACAGTCATCGCCCTTCTCCACAGCCCGCCAGAATATGCATAGTATGAAGCCCATTAATAAAATGTTAAGTTTATACTGCTTTTATCTGGACAAAAGTTACTTCTACAAAATCGCTGCTTTGTGGCTTGTAAATAGATGCTTATCTAAAGGTCTGACTAGTCAAGCCTTATGTGTAACTTGTACACTAGCAGGAGGGGGTGGGGTAAGTTGAATAGTATTGTATATTTGGAGAAGGCTTTTTTATAAATTACTGTTATATGGTAATGTTTGAGCTTTCAATTGGCTGTCATGGGGTGATGGAATACATTCTACACCTCCTAACATATTATGTCTGAAGGCTTGTGAATGAGACCATGTGCTTTATTAGGACCAGGCAGGGAATAGATTTCACTGGAGTAGACAACACGTACACAACTAATGGGCATACAAAGTCCGAGGCACTCATCTGTGAGGTTTTCACTTCCCAAAGGTAACCAACTAAACTGGTTCAATTCTTAAAAATGGAATTATTCCTTGAAAATGTAGCTTTTGTAATACTTCAGGGATTTGCATAAGCTTTTAAATCTCTGAAGTATTGGAGACCATGAATGTACAGAACTAGCCTACTAGTTCCCTACTTTCTCAAACTACAAAGTAGCTTTCCTACCACTCTTCTGTTTACTAAAGTTTTTATTATTTGTTTGGTTTTTTGTCTGCTACACTGCTTGCCATCAGTGGATTTCTCACCCATTCACAAGTAGGAAGAGCAGCATATGGCCTACATATGAGGTGGGGAACTTAAAGGATCAACAACACCAGGAAGGAAAAGAAAAATATGTGGGGATGAGGATAGAGGGAGGTAAAACAAGAATGAAAATGGAGAGAAGGTGGCAACTATACTCAGTTGGCTTTCTTAGCTTTATCCCGAGAGAGTTCCTGTAGGAGTGATCAGCACAAAGTATGATCACAATCTCGCTATTGTTGGGTTAAATTGCAACGTTTTACTCCAGACTTGCTTTTATAGATTTTTAAGGCCAGAAGGGATCTCCTGCTTAACATAGGCCAAAGAATTTCACCCAGTAATTCCTGCGTCAGACCCTTATCTTGTGATTGAGTTAGGGAATTGTTTTTAGAAACAGACACCCAGTCTTGATTTAAAGACTTCAAGTGATGGAGAATCCAGCAGTGTTCCAGTGATTCATTACCCTCACTTGAATTTTGCTATGTCTTTGATAACATAAAGAGCCCTCTATTGTCAGAGATCTCACTATATAGGTACTTAAGAGACCATGGTCAAATCACCACTTGACTTGCACTGTGTGTGGATAACAGAACTGGAAACTGCATTCTTGTAATAGTCTTACTAATGCCATCTACAGAGGTAATGCCACAACCCTACTCCTATTCAAATGTTCCCGTTTATACTTCCAAAGGTCACATTACCACTCCAAGCCACCACATCACATTAGGAGCTTAAGATCAGCTGGTTAACCATGATTCACATCCTTTTTGGAGTCATTTATAAAGATATTGAATACCACTAAGCTAAAAACAGATCCCTATGGGACTCCACTAGAAACACCTCTATTGGGAGTTCTTCCATTTACAAATGTTATTTGATCTGTTTTCCTACAAAGGAACTAATAACATCACCATTTACATAGAGCAAAAAAACAAGTTTTTTACTTTTTCCTCAAAGTAGGGGGAAATGGAGAAGAAACAATGTATTGATGCAGGCCATATGGTATTTTTATTCTGTAATGTGTACAGATACCAGGGATGTTTGTATGTAAGAAGCTAAATTGAACAGAATAGTAAGGTGAGAGGGAGAGGCAGCCATGGATCTTTTAAAGGGGACTTCAGAGATTTGGTTACTCAAGAAACATTAATACATATGGTTTTATGGTATGTTACTGTCCCATGCTAACTTACACTGTACATTGGTAGATGCACCAGACCCTGCTACAAGTCAGTGGCAGAGCCGGCAATAGAATGCAGGCCTCCTAATGCTATGTCCTATCCTACATTTGTACTTGAAAGGGTGTTCCAATCACCATGCTTAAAACAAGAGGGTCTTTACTGTGCATCTAGCCCCAAAAAGTTAAATCCTGGTACAGCTTTGTAAAGGCCAGGTAC